ACAGAGCCCGACATGGGGCTCAAACCCACAAACTCTGAGATCATGATCTGAGCCAAAGTCAGATGCTTAAACGACTGAGCCACCCAGGTGCCCCAAGGAAGTTAAGGTTTGAAGACTATTGTATATGAGATACGAAGTGACCAGTTCTATGGGAATGAAAACACTTGAACCTTGTAGGTCGGCCACCTTCGCTTTGAATCCCAACTCTCCTGGATATTTATGGCCAAGCTACTAAACTTACTTAGGCTGTTTTCCTATCTGTAGATTAGGGAGAGAAATGCCTGCCTCATAGAATTGCTGGGAGGGTTAGATATTTAAAGCTGAGAGGCTCTTTTAGCTCCAGACTTGGAATATCTAATTGCTTGTTCAGTATCCTTTTTAATGTCTCCTCCATTTTAACCTTAAGTCCAAAACCTGATGAATGAGCTCTCTTCCAGAATGTTTTCTGTCTCCATAAGTGGTATCAACAGAAATCTAAAAGTCACCTCCCACTTTTTTTTTTTTTTTTAATTTTTTTTTTTAACGTTTATTTATTTTTTTGGGACAGAGAGATACAGAGCATGAACGGGGGAGGGGCAGAGAGAGAGGGAGACACAGAATCGGAAACAGGCTCCAGGCTCTGAGCCATCAGCCCAGAGCCTGACGCGGGGCTCAAACTCACGGACCGCGAGATCGTGACCTGGCTGAAGTCGGACGCTTAACCGACTGCGCCACCCAGGCGCCCCACCCCCCACTTTTTACCCCATTATCTAGACGACCCTGAACTATTGATTTTACACCACAAATTTTGTTCCTCAAATTTGTGCACTTATCTCCATTGCTACCACAATTGGGCAAGCTTTCGTCATTGCTCCTGCATAAGTCACTGTTAACAGTCTTCTTTCTCCCTAAATCTGTTCCTCTGCTTGTCCCACATCCAGCCAGAGTGAACTCTTCAAAATGTACACATGGGTCACTTTTCTGCTTAAAACTCAACAGTGAGGGGTGTGTGGGTGGCTTGGTCAGTTAAATGTCTGACTCTTGATCTCAGCTTGGGTCTCGATCTTGGGGTCTTGAGTTCAGGTCCTGCATTGGGCATGAATGTAACCTACTTAAAAAACAACCCCTCAATGAGTTTCCATTATCCTTAGTTTGCAGATAAAATCTTAAAGGCATTTTTGTCTCACCCTTGTTCTTCCTTGCTTGTTATTCTATTTCCAGGGACTAGCAGGATGTTTTTTCATAGTTGATGCTCATATACTTAAGGGATGGACAAAGGAAGGAATGTATGAAAGAACCAATTAGTAATTGAGAAAATTAGGCTGTCCCTTTATTTCTTTCTTGTTAGGCTGTATATGAACATACATACATATTTACAGAGGTTGCAAGTGAAATACTATTTCTAAATAAAATGTTTATCTTTAATGAGCTCTCCTATCTTTTCACTTCCCCTCTGTATCCCCAGCCTGTCACTGATCTTCTGTCCCTCTTTGTGCCATTTTATTTACCTGAGGTTGCTGAGGTACAGTTCAAGGACTCTCTCTTTTCTTCTCCCTATATAGTTCATGAAAGCCAACCATTTGAAATTCCTGTGAATGACTGTCTTACTATAAACAGATTATTTGGTATGCATGATAGTAAAGTGAAGCACCTGTTCCCGGTGTTGCAAAACTGCAAGCAGTCCTCCCACTGGAGAATCAAGTCCGCCGTTTCATTAATTAGGTCCCAACTGATGAGGACAAAGCTGCAAGGGTCAGACAAGTACTTGAGAATCTCAGGAGTTTCATTAGTGAGTAGTCTTGCTCTCCTCTTCACAGAGAATGCCAAGGCCTTAAGAAAGCAGAGGAAGACTGGGTGATAAGACTGATAGATACATGGACTAGTAAATGGGAACTAGGGAATGTTTTCCACGTGACTCAGGTGATTTCCCAGAGAAAAAAATGAGGTCTCATTTTGTAATGTCATGTCCGCCCATGATTGGCCCTCTGAGGCTGGGAGTTAACTATACCTCCTGCAATTCTTGTATTTTTTTTTTAAAGAAAACATGGTTAAATTGGTAAATTTTATGTTATGTGTATTTTACCAGTTTTTATAAATCACGTTATTTCAACAAAAAACAAAAGTGGTACAAAGAACATCTGTATCCCCTTTACTCAGATTTACCTATTGTAATATTTTTTTACCCCATTTGCTTTATTATGTGACTGTACTCTTGTGCACACGTAATCTACCATCTAAATGTTTTTATCATTTGATTTCATAGTATTGTTTTTTTATACCATTTCTCCCGCTCCAGTACAGGATACAGTCTAGGGGTAGGACATTGTATATAGTCATGTCTCTTTAGCCTTCTTTTTTTTTTCTTTTATAGTATTGACATTTTTGAGGATATAGTGTATCCCCCCCCCTTTTTTTAAATTTTTTAAATATTTATTTTTGAGAAAGAGAGAGAGTGCAAGCAGGGGTGGGGCAGAGAGAGAGGGAGACACAGAATCCGAAGCAGGCTCCAGGTTCTGAGCTGTCAGTACAGAGCCTGACATGGGGCTCAAACTCAAGAACCCATCTCATGAACTGTGAGATCATGACCTGAGCTGAGCGGAAGTAAGGTGCTTAACCCACTGAGCCACCCAAGTGTTCCTCCCCCCACCTTTGTAAAGTAGGCTTCACGTCCAGCATGGGGCTTGAACGCATGACCCTGAAATCAAGAGTCTGACCCTTTACCAACTGAGCCATCCAGGTGCCCCATTCCCTCACTGCCCCTTTTTAATAGAAGCTTCCTCATTTTCGGTTTGTCCAATGTTTCCTTGTAGTTAAGTTGAGGTTACACAACCTTAGCCAGAAACTTACATAAGTGATACGTTCTCAGGTTATAAAATCTGGAGACTCAATACATTTTTAATTAAATGCAGAGTAAAGGGGATCAGCAAATGCTGTAGGATTCTCTGAAAAGATAAATAGACTGGAATGGTCAGGGGAAGACATCACAGTTTACCTATTATGTAGACTTAGTTTACTGATTTGGTAGAAAGCGTGTTTCTAAATGTTTACCACTTTTCCCTTTATGTCAAATTTTGCATTAGTTCAGGTAACATATATTACTGTCTTCTATCAGTTTCTATTAAGTTTCCTCCTGTGTTAAATAAATCAGGAGGAAATTATTTGTTTTAAAATTTTTTTTTTAAATTTTTTTTTAACGTTTATTTATTTTTGAGACAGAGAGAGACAGAGCATGAACGGGGGAGGGTCAGAGAGAGGGAGACACAGAATCTGAAACAGGCTCCAGTCTCCGAGCTGTCAGCACAGAGCCCGACATGGGGCTCGAACTCACGGACCGCGAGATCATGACCTGAGCCGAAGTCAGCCACCCAACCGACTGGGCCATGCAGGCGCCCCTATTTGTTTTTAAATTTAATGAAATCAGGTATGACTTTCAAATGGCACAATTTGAAGGATTAAGGATCTATAATTAAGGATCTACTGATTATTATGCAAGATTCCTGAATGATTTGGATTGTTACAAAAAGACATTGAACTTTGATGTATGTCTTTATTCCCTTCCTGGTTTCATAACCATTAGAGTCAGGCTAACAGTTGGTACTCCTGGCTTTGCCACTGTTCTATCTAGTCTTTTAGCACTCCTACTTGAGCTATGGAAAGCTACTCTTGCCAATGATTTCTGTGGAATGTATAAATGGTAGTAATGTTGATAGGTCTGTCCTCAATGCCATTTTTCCCTTCCAGGCTGTCTTATAAAGAGCATCCAAACTTTAGATGATGCAGAATAGAATTAGGGCCAGCATGGTTTTAAGTATGTTTCTTGTTTTTTGTTTTTGTTTTCTTTCTCTTTTTTTCTTTTTCTTTTACTTTCTGGGTAATAGGAAACACTGTGGTTGACACAGTTGGGATCTAGTCATTGGTTAATAGGTAGAAGAGTCAGAGGTATATATTTTTTTTATTTTAGCTTGTATTTTTTATTTTTCTTTTAATTTACATCCAGATTAGCATATAGTGCCGCAATGATTTCAGGCATAGTTTCCCTTAGTGCCCCTTAACCATTTAGCCCATCCCCCCTCCCACAACCCCTCCCGTAACCCTCAGTTTGTTCTCCAGATTTATGAGTCTCTTCTGTTTTGTCCCCCTCTCTTTTTCTATATTATTTTTGTTTCCCTCCCCTTATGTTCATCTGTTTTGTCTCTTAAAGTCCTTATATGAGTGAAGTCATATGATTTTTGTCTTTCTCTGACCAATTTCACTTAGCATAATACCTATTCTCCAGTTCCATCCATGTAGTTGCAAATGGCAAGGTTTCATTCTTTTTGATGGCCGAGTAATACTCCATTTTGTGTGTGTGTGTGTGTGTGTGTGTGTGTGTGTGTGTGTGT